TATGTATGTGAGACCATACATTCAGGTGTGCTTCATGAGAGAATTGCAAAACTTTCTTCTTGTCACCCCTTCCCTGCCACTTGACTATTGTGTGGCAATAAATAAAGTTTGCAAATACTCGTTAAGTAGGTTGATTGCCCAAGAAAACATTTAAAACAATATGTCAGTCAGTTCAGCTTTCATGGTGCTCTGCAAGTAGTGAGCACTGGGATACAAATGTGAGACTGTCCTGCCCTCCTAGATCTCAAGCATTTTCATCTTGAAAATGACTATCAGATGTATACTTTGACATATATTGTAGGTGATGATGGAGTAAATATAAGGTGCTAATGGGAACAATTTGGAACATCAGATCAGGTTGGGATTGAGAGGGTAGTAGACTGACTTCTGTTTAAAAGTTATTCTCTTCATAGGTATTTATATAGTTCAAAACTCAAAATATATAAAAGAGTAAAATTGAAAGCCTCTCTGTCACCTCTGTCCTCCAGCCACCCAGTTTCTGTCCTTAGAAGTAACCCATTATTATTACCTGTACATTCTTTTGAAGCTAACTTTTGAACTAAATCTTAAAATGGTCATTCAGATTAGGTCACTAAGAAGAGAAGGGGATAGTTTTCCATGCAGAGGTGGAAGGTAGTTTGTATAATAATGTGAAAGAGTGAGAATGTATCATTTGGAAAATGGTATTATTAATTTGACAGGAACCAAAGTGAAGGACTTAAATGTCATGATAAGAAATTTAGATTTTTATAGTAAGTTGCTGTTAAAGGTTTCTTGAAACTTTTGTTAAAATATATCTTGAAACAATTTCAGTATCCTTTTAGTGATTGTTGCATGCTAAATTATAATGCTATGATAAAGCTGTGTTAAGGGAATACCTTGGGAGCACTGAGCCCCAAAAATCAGAATTCTTATCTAATGAAATGTGCTAAATATTTTGGTACACGTAGCTCCAAGTTTAAGTATTCTGTTTGTCTCAATATTACCTTGATAATGACAGAACACTTGGTACATGTTGAGATACTGTTAACAAAATTTGATTTATAGGCAGCATAATTTGGAAACTGTTAACACGCTATATTAAACACAAAGCAAGCTTAGTTGTATCAGGCCCTATGTATATATACTTTCATTTGATCTCTTCAACAATTTGTAAAAAAGGGGTCTCTTCCCCCTTATGGATTAAGAAAACAGACTCTTAGAGTTTGAGTCACCTGGGTATTGGGTGACAGAGTATAGACTCATATTTAGACCTTTAACCTCAAAACCAGTGCTTTTCCATATTCCCAAAGTTAGAAGTTTATTACTTAGCAGACAGTAAGTTAGGAGGAAGGAAGAGCTACCATAATACAGCCACTGATTTGTTGTTTTATAACCCTTTACCTAAAGGATATTTTTAATCATTTAAATTCCACAGATAATAGTACTGGAGATGGTGCTTGTTGATTTTCTGCTTATTGTATTTCGCAGGTTCCTATTTAGGGATCTCTGAAGTCGAATTTTGGCATAGATAAAAGAAAGAGGTATTTGTTGAGTGCTGAAGTACCTTATGCTTTAAGCTTTGACAATTTTTGTAGCTTAGTTTTGATGTATGGAGTGTTTGTGTTTTATTCTCCCTGTTGTAGTTAGTTACCCTACACAGTATCTTGCTAAAACAGGTAGACGTGCCACATGCATTGAGTCATTTTCTGATGTAGCACATATTTGAAAATGTGATGGAATATTGACTATATATAAAGTAGGGAGAAAAGACGGTTTTGTTCAGTGATTTTGAAGAATGTTTACAAATACGAAAACAGCATTTTTGTTTAGGTGGCTGAAGTACAGTGTAAACCACGTCTCAGTCTTCCTAGAATTGCTTCATTGGCTCTACATTTAGAATGATAATTTATATTAATATCAAATAAACTGTTAGAAAGCTGGTTTTCAGTTTTACTTCTTGAGTGGAAGAGAATTTGTGACCACAGCTGCATAAAAGTCAGCATTTCCTTCTAATAAATTTTTAATTTCAGTTGTCTCTTCATGCTCTCAGGTTTCATAGACTGTAACGTTGAAATGATCCCATTAACAGCCTTTTCCATGGGCTCTTAATCTCCTCAATTTTATGCCATTCCAAAATAGAAGTCTCTCTGATGATCAAGCCCTTCAATATTTACAACTGGCTCTTTTCCCTTCTACTTCCTTGATCAGTGATTTCACAGACTTGACTCCCTTAATCTATACCTGTTAATCAGTGTGTGGAGACTAATTATTGTTGCTGTTTGCTACAAATCCTTCAGTTTATGGATAACATCCCAGTTGAAGTGTCCCAGAAACAAAATTTCATAGCTTATAAGACTGTCTAAATTTTTATCCTTAAAATCTAGACTATTTAAAGTTTTATGTAGTACATAGATTGTATAGCTGTGTACTATAGAAACTATGTATTGTGGCTTCTTCACTTTGAATGTATGTAGAAAGAGTGATTGTTAATTGTCAGCTTTTGCAAATTAAGTGTATTCTAATATGTTCTAAAAAACTTAGGTCCATTTATACAGTATTTTATTTCACAGGTTCTTTCCCCATCTCAGTGTTTACTACTACTAACTACAAATATGTTCTTTTTTTACTTTTACATTTATTTGACTTTAGAGAAATATTTCACTATTTTGTAAAACTGCTGGAATTTTATAACTTAAGTCATATGACTTCATTTGGAACCAATTTACTTGTAATATGAATTTGATTTAAATTAAATATTTATATTTCCAAAGTCAGAGGATCTAAAATTCTTTTAAAGAGGCCAGGCATATTGGTTCATGCCTGTAATCCCAGGACTTTGGGCGGCCAAGGCATGCAGATCACCTGAGGTCAGGAGTTTGAGATCCAGCCTGGGCCAACATGGTGAAACCCTATCTGTACTAAAAATACAAAAAATTAGCCAGGCGTAGTAGCAGGCACCTATAATCCCAGATACTCAGGAGGCTGAGGTGGGAGAATCATTTGAACCCGGAGGCAGAGGTTGCAGTGAGCTGAGACCGTGCCGTTGCACTCCAGCCTGGGCGACAACAGTGAAACTCGTCTTCAAAAAACTTATTAATAATAATAAATAATGAAGTTCTTTTAAAGAATATCATCCTTATAAATATATTGCTAGTACTCTTTAATGAATTTTTAATTCTAGACTTGCAGAATAACTTCCAAGTATACTACCTTCCTCTTTGAGTCACTCCATTTAAACTAGTGGTCTCCAAACAGACCTTTGAGGATAGTAAACTAGTTCCCATATGTTCCTGGGCAAGCCTGTTTTTTTTTAAAAAACAAAAAGAAACAACAAAAAAACCCAAGTTGAATGTTCAGTTAGTTCAGTTGGTTTTCATTTGATTTGGCAGACTGATTTCTAAGTACAGTGAAAAAAGTGGCCTGACAAATACATCTTAAGAGGATGTAAGCTGTTAAATAAACAGTAGTTAGAAGCCTCTTAAGCTTTTCTTATTAGCAGGTCTAATCAGTGCCTTTGATTGCCTTAGACCTAGTTAGGAGAAAAATGGAGAAAGGGTTAAAAGAATAACAAGGAGTTGAAGTAGGGCAAATGATGAAAAATACACATATTAGACTCCTAATTAATCAAATAGTTACTTTGGTGGTTCTCTGGCATGTTGGAAATCATTTTTTTTATTGTACTGATAATTCTGCAGACTTTTAAGACTTTTAATAGTACCCCATAATTGCCATATTGTATCTGAACCTGATTTTGTACATGAAAATAATAGCTATTGAGCATTTACTGTATGCCAGGAACTTTACGTATAGTCTCAATTCTTCAGCCATCCTTCAAGGCTAGGTAGTAATGTAACCATTTAACGGATAAAGAGACAGACCTAAAGAGGTCAAAATTTAACACTGCTATGTGTTTAGTGTAGTGGTATAAGAGCATAAACTGTGGAACTAGATTGCCACCTACTACCTCAGTGATGTAAGGCAAGTTCTTCTGTCTGACCCAGTTTTCTCATCCATGAGATGGGAATAATAATGTTGCCTACCTCTTAGGTAGGGGCTGTTGACATAATTTAGTTGATGAGTGTAAAGCGCTTAGAATAGTGTGTGATACATAATAAACATATTCTTAACTGCTGCTCTTCTGCTACAGCATGGGTTAAGAATTTTAAAAGTTATGTGGCACAGTTTTTGTTAGCTCCCAGGTGTACAGGCTGGAGGTAGGGGAGACCAAGAAGTGTGCCGAGGTTCCCCGTGGAACCAGTCCCCAGATATGAGGTATATCGTACTTACTGAGAGATAGTCCAAAAGAGCCCATCAGTTCAGATTCTATGGTGATAGCCCTAGAGAATGGTAGAAATGAAAGATAATTATGATAAATAGGCTTTTACCCCTCAAAGTGGCACTGTACCAATGCTAGGATTAGAAAGCTGCCGAACAATTCTAGATAGATCAGAAAAAAACACATAAAAATAATGGATTTCGAAGGTGGAAATGTGTCAAGTCCAACCCAGGAAAGAACTCTTCATTGTTAATTATGAAACCCTTGCTACTTTTAACAGAGCCTAAGAAAAGTTTTTACGTTGTGAAGATAATAGCTTAACTTACTTTATTTGACTACACTACCTAAGAACAGCATTGTTAAACTGCTAAACAAGATAGATTTTTATAAAGGCATTTGGTACAGAATAGTGTTGATTAGGCTATGAATTAGTCACATTTATATGCACACACACACACACACACACACACACACAATTGAATGCTACTTAGTATTTAGTTTGCTCTGCATTACCTCTTTAAAACTGTGATTCTGAATTATTGTTGAGGTCTCCCGGATTTTGTCCAGTTTTTAATTTCTTTCAAAGTGTTGTTTTAAGCAAACTTACATGGTTTTTTAATCTTTTTATTATTAAAACAGTTACACTGTATTAGAAATCTAAAATATTCCATCTTCTTTTGAAAAGTAGTGATTTTACTGTACATTCTCAACCTCATTTCCATTTGATTCTCGGATCTCACAGGAATCCTTCAACTGCTTTCTACCAAGCGTTCCATTTGAACACGTTTCAGGAATCAAAGAGCCTCTGGGATAGGTATGAATACTTACATAAGGAATGCATACATGCAAAACTGTATGCATGAATTGCTTTGCACTGTACTGATTTCTCGTCATTAAAACTGATCTTTGTTATTTTAGGGGGGATTCACATGGTATCTAGCATGGGACAAAGCAGCAAAATAAACCAAAAGGACAATCTATATAGAAAATAAACATACTTTTCTTTTTTCTGCATCCTGTGTACTTTATTTCTATATTTTTGAAGGGTTCACATTGTGTTGAATTTTTGATATGAAATAGTCACTTCCCCAGTGTATTTTAATGCAAATGCATATTCTATAAAATAAACTATCTACAGTTAATTTTTGTGCCATTTTATGTTTTTTCTATAAAAGCCATAGTGATTCAAAGCAAAATGTTATTTCAAATTATGAAATTGGAGGAGGAACAAGACCAAGGTATCAAAGTAATTGTTGTTTAATTTTTGGCAAGAAACTTTAACTTCAAATTTGTTTGCTAGAACTCACTAGGTCTGCATTACTGATTTGTAAGCCCCTGCAAAGTTTGCTTTCTTACAGAAATGCTATATAGATTTTATTGTTAACTCTTAAAAATTCAAAATGAAGTCTTGGAGATCTTTTATGGCAAAAGATACTTTGGTTTATCTTTCTGCTTAACACACATTTTAAGTAGTGTATGCTCTGTTCAGTCATTTTGCTGAATATTTATTAGCACTCCATCATTTTATGTTTAATTAATAGAAGTTGAGCTCAAACAATGTTTTTAAAATTCACACAAAGCTTGTTAGATTCTTTTAACTCTGCCTGGCAACGCGTTTGTGTCTTCTGGCATAGTTTTGGATAACACTCATGAACTCAACTCCATCTCTTTCATTAGAAAAGAGTATTGCTAAGTGCATGTACATGTCATATTAAGACATGATACATATTGCCTAGAAATGCTAAAACAGTCTAATTCTTTGGCTTGATTTGCTTGTGTGTGTCACTCTAGGGAAATTTTCTAACAGTATCTTTTTGATAGTATGTTCCAGAAATGTTTCTAAAGAGTTACTTTTACAATAGGAAGTTTTAAAATGTGTAGTACCATGTTTATAAAACAAATTTTTAAATAGTTCTTCTCTAGCCATTTAAATTAATACATAAATGTAAATTGTGACATGAAATAAACATGAAGGTTTAATCATTCAAATAGTTTTCCAAATGAAGCCAGAATGTGAGTACTTTGGGGTATGCTTTATAGTTTCCCTTAGAAAGAGGAAAAATAGCCCTGTATTTAGAAATGTAGTAAGAGTAGTTTTCAAATGTATGGTAATTTATTTCACATAGCTAATTTGTGAGCTGTCATGGTTTCGATATGAATGATATATTATTTTTATCAGCGTAGAAAGGTTTGAGCTATATTTTTAATAATTTGAATCTAGTATTAAAAGGTTTCTTTTGTTTCATAATAAAACAACTATAGAAGTTGCCAGCACATCATTTGTTGTTACAGCTAAATACTCCTTATCTGTTTTCTTTTTTTAGATACCAGAAACTTTTAAGGTATCAGAAATGAGGCAAGTTGCTGTATTTATAGTTTCTCATGGGTTGAAAATATTTTCTCATCTCCTTGGAGCCTGTTGTCCAGAGCCAAAGAAGTTAGTGAATATTTGTCTGTAGTGTGTTAATGCCAAAATATAATCAAATATAATCAAAATATCAGGTCAGCCATTCTTCACTGTAAATTGGCATTGCGGGTACTAAGGTGACAAGCCCAACCTAATAGAAACTGACTAGTGGCTTCCTTTTAACTTTTCAACTAACTTACTAAATTTTCCACTGAGAGGAGCGATCATAGCTAACTTTATTAGTTTTAATAATCTATACTTTCAGTTGGCAAATATCTACAGAATTATTGATAGGTATATCAGTTAATAAAGTATCATGAGACCATTTATTCCTTGCAAATGAGTTGAAGATTTGTGTGTGTTAAGCTATAAAAAATATTAAATATAACTTCTGACCTTGTTTGTTTTGGACATCACCAAATTACATTGTTCATTTTTTACTATTATAAATTTAGGATTTTTTTTTACTTTACTACGAATTTGGCAAACAGGTGTTTTGCAAGGATGATTCTTCTATTAAAGAGAGACATGGGCCGGCATGGTGGCTTACGACTGTAATCCTGGCACTTTGGGAGGCTGAGACAGGTAGATCACCTGAGGTCAGGAGTTTTGAGACCAGCCTGCCAACATGGTGAAACCCATCTATACTATAAATACAAAAATTAGCTGGGTATGGTGGCGTGTGCCTGTAATCCCAGCTGCTCGGGAGGCCAAGGCAGGAGAATTGCTTGAACCTGGGAGGTGGAGGTTGCGGTGAGCTGAGATTGCGTCATTGCACTCCAATCTAGGTGACAAGAGCAAAACTCCGTCTCAAAAAAGAGAGACATTTAGAAGTTTAAGGGACTGTAAGTCCCTAACATTATCTTCTATATTATCTATTTATTTTGAGGCATAAATTCATCCTGCTATTGCTAGATAACAAATTTTAGGCTCCTATTTATGAAATGTTGGAAATCATTTTCATTAGAAGCAGCTTTTAAGTGTCTGTTTTCAGTAAACCTGCCCTAAATTGCTTAATATCCCTAGTTTGAGTTTGCCTAACTAGAAAGATGGGAATGTCCTTTTTTCCCCAGGATTCTTTCAACTTAGCAGAATATCTTTTAATCCAAATATAAGTAACTAATGTACCTTTCTCATATTGGCTTAAAGTTTTTTAATGGCCCCTTTGTTTCCTTCCATATTTCAATTAGAATTGGCAAATTAATAGACTTTTCACCAAGCAGTCTGCCTCTGCTTATATTTAGATATTTTCTCCTTCCATTTATATCCAGTGCTTTACTCAGTTATTGTACTAAAATTGAAGCTACCCTCAAGCCTCCCTTTCCCTTTTTCTGTAGGTGCCATCATTGGTTTCTGTCTTCTCTATTGGCCATTTGCAGAGTCCTCAGGGAATCAATCAGCTGAAACCATCTTCAAATGTAGGGACAGTAGATACTGATAACTCAAACATAATCCAGTCCTTTCTTCAGAAGCCCAAACTGTTTTGAGTTGACTCTTTATTAAAATAAATACTATAGCTTCCATAGTTAGCTTTCTGGGAGATTATCTTACTATGGAGGAGTTACTTTTTAGTGAGATCCTAGCCTATTGGCATTTCAGAATAGTAACTTTAAAATTTGACTTCCTATTTTCTAAAGAACAGGCTTCCAAAGTTAATACTTGGCATTGCTTTGTTAAATTGGCAGAATTGGTTTAGAAACCTATCTGATGATCACTGGGGAGCAGGTTCTCATTGAGAGTCCTTTGTTTACAAAAGCTCAGCATAAGAAATTATAGCAAACAATTTTACTGTCTTCTAGATACCAGGTCACTAAAGTAAAGGAGTACTAAAGGGAAGGAACTTCAGTTAGACTAAAGGAAGAAATCAGGTAGTTTATAAGGCTTTAACCTCATTGATAAACACTTTCAGGGCTTTTGTCTTCATTAAGAAATGCATAAATGTAGTTGAAACAAGTGAGACAGCAGTTGCTAGGTGCACCATCCCCTTGAGTCTGCTTGTCTGTCCTTATGAGAGCACCAGTATTTAGAGAGAAGTTAATAAGGAAAGTAGTAGACATAATTTAGTAACTTAAAATGAATATCTAAGTTTATCCTAAATTTGTTTACTAGATAATTGATGATCTCTTAAATTGTTTTCTACAGTGATTATTCACTTACATTTATTACCTCTAATTTTAAAATTATTGGATAAAAAATGTGTTCTTATTTAAATAGCCTTAAGTATTTTGTGTTGGGAAAGCCTTCCAGTATTTCCTGTCATTGTTCCTCGTGAGATGTTATTTTTGAAGCTAGGAATAAATTAGAACCAAGCTGCTTATATCATAAATACCATTGGTACTGTATGAGATAATTTATTTTGCTTGGCTCATCTGTAAGAAGCTTGGGTCCATTGTTAACATCCACCAGTGCTTGTTATCCCAAATGGTAAAACTCAGGTTGTACGACTTAGCTGATATAGCTTTTGAATGCTTGGTGATAGGACTTGTAAAATTTTTTATTGAAGTATAATTTGTATTGGAAAAGTGTACCATTAGTAAATATATAGCTCAAATTGAACACATATATGTAGCCAGCACCCAGATCAAGACATAAAATATTATAAGCCCATTTCATGACATCATCATGTCCCCCATCAGTCACTTCCCCTCCTAATCCTGATTTCTAATGTTTTATATATGTAGGACCATACACTATGCATTTTGTGTCTGACCTCTTTCACCCAGTATTATGTTTGAGATTCTTTGAGATTCATTTGTATGGTTCTGCAGCATTGTAGACATGGACTATATAATTTTAAATAATCACTCAAGTGGGTTATTTGTTGGAGATTGGTATTGGTTAAATGTTCTCTCTTAGTAATTATGCATAAATATCTTGAGGATATGCACCTGAACTATTTTGTGACCAACTCCAATATATTCCTTACTAATTTGTACCTAGTACTTACATAATTTATTATCTCATTATATTTCAACCTATTCCACTAAGACATCTAGTAGAGGATAATCCAAGAAGCTAAAAATTAGAGTATAGATTTTTAATGACTATCACCTTTTATTCTTCCTCCCTCCCCCTCTTTCCTTCCTTTCTTCTTTCATTTCCTCTTTCCTTCCTTCTTTTTTTCTTCTTGTTCTTCCTTCCTTATTTTACTTTTTAATTTGAAATAATTTTAAAGTTGCAAAAATAGTGCTGAAGGTTCTTGTATGTCCTTTACCTAGCTTCTGTTAGTGTTAACATATTATACAACCTTAGTACAACTATCAAAGTTAGAAAGTTAACATTGATAGAATACTATTAGCTAAACTACAGTTTTATTATTTTAATTTTTCAAGTGTCCTTTTTCTGTTTCAGGATCCAGATCAGGATTCCACATTGTGTTTAATAATTATGTCTTCCATTTTAATCTGTAACAAAATACTGTTCCTTTATTGAACATAGTGAGTACCAAATCTGGCCTTATTGGTGTGGAGAGTTAGTTAACTAAGGTTGCCTCCAGATTTCCACCTTTTCTGCAGTGCTTACTACAATTACTATTCTCACAGGACTCTTTTGTATCACATTATATAAATGTTTTCATCCGTAGTTTCATCTGTAGTTCTTAAGTGAGGGAAGGGGAGAGGCCCAGGGTAAGAGGGGTAGGTAAACATTGGTACTTAAAGGATCAGGTGAAAGCTTTATATATAATCGCTCTATAACTCGTATTTGGATCCCTGATTTAGATGGAAACATAAGGTCATGGTTATGTTCAGATAACATTAAATCAAGGAAGTGATAGCTGTTGTGGATGACAGCATTTATAAATTTAACTGAAACAAATACAGAAATCAAGAAATTGGAAGAACTTATGTAAAGTCAGGGACGTTGACTAAGCATATCAGAAAAAAATACTTAGCTATGTGTGTTAATGGCATTTTGTAGTATTGGTAAGTGACAGGGGTGCCACAAAAACTGTGATTTTAGATGATGTTTCTAGAACTAGAGTAAGAAATGATGGTGACTAATCTGTTTTACTCCATTTCGACAGAATAGTTGTTCTAAGTACAAAACTAACTAGAAAACCGAATTTCTTTATACTCTACTTGGACATCCATGGTGTTTCAACAGGCAGCCCTGAGTGAGCTTACTATGAATAAATGGATCCTCTGGGAAATAGTCTTGCCATCACTAGACGTAATAAAACTATCTAATTGTTAACTAGGGATGTTGATTTTAAGTGAAATTTAGTTTCAGTTACATTTAAAATGCCTACTCTGGGGTTTTATTTCCCCCACTTTCCTAAATGGAAAAGAAAAGCAGTAAGTACAAGCATTGGAATTGAACACCTTTGCTTCTGTTTTGTTATTATTGGCTGTGATTATCAGTAAACCTTAGAGAGCTGTGTATTTGCTTAAGGAATGGAAGGCTAGCAAACTATTCCGCTCTTGTAGGAAAGAATTCCACGTCAGAGACAGTAAGTGTTGGTCTGAATAGAGAAACCAACGGAGCTTCCCTCAGAAGAAAATGAGTGACAGTAAGCTAATTTGGAAATAAGAATTTGCCATATATAGTGGTGGTAAATGAAGCCCCACAAATAAGTAGGCACCCGTTATCACCATGCTGATGATTTCAGAAGCATCTTAAAAACTAGTGAATTATTCTTTCCCAGGTGCCAGGCAGAGGTAGAGTAACATGGAGAAAAATAACTCACACATTGCATACTGAAGAACTTAAGGTTAACTTCACTTAGAAATCATGGACTGTATATAAATGGGCGTCAGTCTAGGTCATAGTCATAGGACCATAGGGAAAACCAGGCCTCAAAGTTTTTAAAAGCCACAATGCTTGGTTATGAAATTGATGGTCTCAAAATACAAGTCAAATTCTTGTTGATGTGGAAATAAGAGTAGTATGTAGTAGAGAAATACAGTTGTATGTAGTGTAGTGAATGTAGGTCATTGGGGCTTTAATGAAAGATGAAAGAAGCCACTTAAAACTGTTAGAAACCCAAGCCTACAGTAATCTGAAAAGCTACTTGGGAAGTTCAGTAAATTATTAGATGCTTGGTCATATTATAAATAGTCTTTTTAACAACATATGTTTGTGCCAAATTATAGATACTTGCTATTTAAGGGCTTTTCCTGTTGCCATCTTAAGTGGTTTTAGATCACCTTTTCCAGTCAAAAGACTCTAAAGCCTTAAAATCTCAATTTTTTAGAGTAGCTCAGAATGAAGCTAAGGGAAAATATCAGGAAAATTTGCAATTATATGACTCAGCAAAAGTTTGTTCTCCTGTAATAGGTAAATACTAGAAGAAAGACTAAGATTTAGTAACTGCTTTCAGTGAGCTTGGTCTTAATATGGAAAACGGTAAATACATGATCACATAATTGAAAGTGATACCTGTCATATAACGTGTAAGCACTTCATGTCTCTCAAGTACAGCTGAAGGAATTGGTCAAAGTTTCTTCAGGAGGTGGGCTTTTGAGTTGGAAACTGAAAGATGGGTAGAATTTGGTCATGCAGAATTGAAGTACTGAGGGAAAGTGAACATCCAGTTAGACTGAAATACTGTGCATCAAGTACTGGGCTTATATGATAAGGATAAAGTTAAATTTGGTGGGTATATAACATATTCGAAGACAAGAAACGAGAGGGGTTAGATTAGAGACAGATTCTAGAAAGGTATTGAAGCCTAAGTTAGGCAATGGAGATGAGATAGGAATTACAGGATTTTACAACTGATTAATCATGATAAGGGAGCCGTCAAACTTGACTCCAAAGTGCCAAACTAATTGACTGAGGGAATGCTGGTTCTGTTAGGAAGTATTAGTGAAATAATTTGTTTGGGAAGGAGAAAGTAGTGAAGAGGTTTTTCTTCTCAGCTGTTTTCTGGATGAGTTGATGAGCTGGTACAAAGTCAAGGTGAAAATACTTGGGATGCAGCTGAAGCTGTAGACTTGCAGCTTGGTATAGAAATTAAAGCTAGAAGAGATTTAAGAATGTTTTAAGATTAGAACATTTTGAGGATATTTTCTAATCAGAAGAGAAATGTCTGAATCTTTTGAAATAATTTCAAATTTACAGAAAAATTACAAGAGTAGTACAGAGAACTCAATCTTCTTACCAGGATTCCATGTTTGGGCAACATGGCAAAACCTCGTCTCTATAAAAAATGCAAAAATTAGCCGGGTGTGATAGCCCATGCCTGTCTGTAATCACAGCTGCTTAGGAGGCTGATGCACAAGAATTGCTTGAAACCCATAAGGTAGAGGTTGCAGTGAGCTGAGATTGTCCCATTGCACTCCAGGGTCACAGAGTGAAACTCTGTCTCAGTCAAATAAATATATAAATAAATGTTCTATTTCTTTTATATTGGCTATTACTAATAAACTGAGAGTCAGAAATATGTGGCTTTTTTTTGAGACAGTCTTGTCCTGTCACCCAGGCTGGAGTGCAGTGGCACGATTTCGGCTCACGGCAACCTCTGCCTCTCGGGTTTAAGCAATTCTGTTGCCTCCCAGGTAGTTGGGATTATAGGCGCCCACCACCATGCCCTGCTAATTTTTGTATTTTTAATAAAGATGGGGTTTCACCATGTTGGCCAGGCTGGTCTCAAACGGCTGGCCTCAAGTGATCCGCCATTCCCTGGCCTCCCAAAGTTCTGGGATTACAGGCGTGAGCCACTGTGCCCAGCCCAAATATGCAGCCTTTTGTTAACAAAGCATGCAGTTCCTTATTATACATATATTTGAGTTTTATGTAACTGGCTTCCACTTCCTTTGATTTTCCATCTTTAGAGGGGGCTCTACCTTTAATTTCAATATCTTTTTCCTTTGCCTTTATAAGCTAATTTCTGCTCGTTTTGAAAGGATCAAGGGTATAAATCATTTGAGAGTAAACATGTTGAAAAGCCTATCTTTTTTAGAGCTATTTTTCAAAGCGGTATTAATGAAATTCTTTAAGCTGTGTATTTTGTGTTTCTTCTACCAGTAGGTGCATTCGATATAATGCATAAATGCCAAACACTTTGTATATGTGTATATACATGTACATATGCTTATATATGTATGTGTGTATGCATGTGCTTACGTATATGTGTATGTATGCTTTATATATAGTGTTTAGCCAGCCAGTTGTGTCTTAAATTACATCTTGGCTCAACCACAGATATATGAAGTTTCTTGTTACTGTGTGTTGTGTGTCTTTTTATATGTGGTGTTTTTTTGTTTTTTTTTTTCTGTTTTTTCCTTTTTGATTTTGAGACAGATTCTTGCTTTGTCACCAAGGCTGGAGTGCAGTGGCGCACGATCTCGGCTCACTGCAACATCCGCCTCCCAGGTTCCAGCGATTCTCCTGCCTCAACCTCCCTAGTAGCTGGGATTACAGGTGCCCGCCACCTTGCTGGCTAATTTTTGTATCTTTTAGTAGAGACAGGGTTTCACCATGTTGGTCAGGCTGGTCTTGAACTCCTAACCTCAGACAATTCACCTACCTCGCCTTCCAAAGCGCTGGGATTACAGGCCTGAGCCATTGTGCCTAGCCTGTCTTTTTATGTGTTAATTTATTGGAACATACTGTCTTCCTAGCAGTTTTAGTCTATTAGGTACATTTTGTACTAATTTTTAAAGTAAGTTTATCTTTAATATTTTGAAGTTTATTTTTTCAATATGTAACCTATGGAATAACTCTGTGTAATTTATTGGAGGGCATATAGGGTTGCCTATTTCCTCCCCTTCTCCATTTAAAAGTAAGTTATTTCTGACCAGGCATTGGTTTATCATGGCTAGGATTTCTCCAAACAATGTAGTGAACTTTTTGAACAACAGGGTGAAAATATGGCTATATTAGTAGATAGCCTTATAGAATTTTCAGAATTTTTTAAGGAAATGTGGTTAAACCTGAAAACAAAATATTCTATTAAACTACTAAGCTAAGCACATTCATTCAAAAAGCAAGTTCCTTTAGGACCTCTTGTAGACCTGTTTGATTTAGCATATCAATTTTCAGGTAATTAAATGGAAATTATAAATCATCCACCTTCCTCCTCTTCACTGTTTTTTTCTTTCAATATAGATTCACCTTCTCACAAAAGGAAATGATAAATAACTAGAGGGGAATATTCAGGATTTGGTTTTGATAGCAATCTTGTCAGAGACTCAAGATTATGACTGATAATATTAGCACAGTTTTCTCATTAAATTTTTATTAGGAAGAATTCTAATTTTAAATAAATTTTAAAGAATATCTGGTTAATCTGAATGCTGTTCATCTGTAACCACTTTAGTTATCCAATTTCATTTCAGATTTTTAATAAGGATGTCCCACATGTTGGAATTTAATGATTTAAACTCTTGAAATATGACCCTGTACTTGGTAACAACTAATTTTGAAAATGTATGCTTAGGAAAATTTTGATATATAAGTTTTATATTTTCTAAAATGTATACAGCTCTTAAGTCCTGAATTTACCATACATTTGTGTAATGTACACACTCTTTTAAATTTTTTTTCTGTAAGCTTTATAGTAAAATAACTGCCTCATATGACTGGTTTAATTTCAGCTTCCAAAAAGACTTTCCAAGCATTTACCAAAACAAGGCTTTTTTGTCAGCAGGCCCTTTAACAAAGGGTCAAACAGTCGGCCCTTTAAATGACCATTTCATCAAAGCCTTGCAGACAAGCAGATTTACCAGCATTGTAGATAAGTATTTCAGGAAGTATTTACTAAATATGACTGCATACTTGTCCCAAAAAAAAGTAAATCTTCAAAAGATTTTTTAAATTATTATAGTATTTTGGTTGATAGAAGAGTTTTATTAAAACTTTCTAAAAACATTTGGTAATACATTAATGAAATGACCACATCTTTAAACTACTATTTATCCTCATAAATATGGATTTTTGCCTTCACCAGGTGATTACATTATAAGGCTGTGCTTTGACAGAAGACAAAATTAAGTGGTATGATTTATATTGAAGTCAAATGTGTTGTGAGATTACATTTGGAAAGATTATATTGGAAAAATTGGAATAGTTTTTCAGGCTGTGTCAGAGACTTAAGTGACCATGTCTAGTAGAAAAGTTCCATTGAAAGTTAAAAATCTGTAACAGCATGACCCAACCTGTACGTTTGGGTCAAGTATCTTTTGAGATAGCTGCAGAGTTTCCTTTACAATGCTGTCTTTGAGTTTTCTATAGCTTTGTGTGTATTGATCATCCTCAATAAGGGCCTTTTTCTTTCCCCCTTCCCCTTTGCCCCTTTGTAGTACTTTATTGAGGGGGTTAATTTAGGCAAAACTGTGCCCACAGATCTATGGGTTTCCTTTTCTGTGGGTTACTGACAACTAAAAATATAAATGTACATTCTTATCAGAGAAAAAATGTTATTAATGATACTATTCTTCAGGGATTAAAATAGATGCGCAATTGAAAGCTTTCTGGTAAAGTTTAATAAATTTAGAACGCTATTTTTAATGTAGTGATTTTTGCCATTATTAAATCTTCCTCCAGTTTTCTTTCATGCTCATATACAGATGAGCACTGTTATATAGGATACATTATTATGTCAGTTACATAAAGCACATAATAAAATTTAATTCCTGCCATTATGTTGTCTGTTTTCAAAATCGGAAGTAGTAGAGACAGATGAAGATTTAGATATAAAAATGGAATTCTGTCTTATGTACTTAAATGACAGTATGGATTATTACTGATCCAGCCACTCGTGCTGTATAAGTCTAGAAACTCAGCTAGGCGTGGTGGCTCAGGCCTGTACTCCCAGCACTTTGGAAGGCTGAGGTGGGCAGATCACAAAGTCAGGAGATCGAGACCATTCTGGCTAACATGGTGAAACCCCATCTTTACTAAAAATACA